ACACACACACACACACACACACACACACACACACACACACACACACACACGCCAGTCTTACTGATCTCAGATCAGAACTGCCCATTACCAGCCATCTTTAAGCCCCGCCCCTTTCTTACCCCTCGAAGCAGTGAGCAACGGTGAGAGCCCACCTCCGAGCGATGAGGACGCAGCCGCAGACGTGTCCGCTCTGACCACTCTGTAGTGAGCACTGCCACGGCCACGCCCCCCGGCGTGACACCCGACCCCCCAGGATCCGTTTCTTCCTGTGAGGACGGAGACTCAGAGCTGGACGGAGACCACACTCTGAGGACAGGAGACAGATGGAGACTGGAATATCTGACATCTGTCCACTTTTGTTGTTTGTTGAAATAAAATAAATCATTTGTTCATCAGATGATCTGAGAACAAATACACATAAATCAGTGTGTTTACCTTCTCTGGAACAAAGAACTGAAACTCTGCGTCTGGAAAGACATGCGTGGCTGCAGGAGGGACAGAGACACAGGAAGTCAGGTAAGACAATATAAATAATGATAAAAAGTGGTTTCAGGTAGCTGCAGGAGTAAAAAGAAGATTTTATCAGGATCAGATAAACTGAGAGTTCAGCTCACATGGGGGGTYGCCCGGGATCAGTTCACCAACACAAAACATTAAACATTAGAGTATCTGAGGTTCTAGTTCTTACCTTCTCTTCTCCAGTCGGGCCTGCAGGGCAGAACCGTTCCTCAGATTCCAGTCTGGATGAACATGTAACCACCGCCGACGTCCCGGGACTCCGGGCTGGTCTGGTACCATGGAAACAGAGGAGGGGACCCTGAGGCGACGGATGTGTGTGTTTCACTTCAGAGGTGGGCGGAGTCTCGCAGAGCATCATGTGTGTGTTACTAACCTTACCCTAGACCCAGCTGGGCACAAGTCAGCCTGCTCAGGTCCTGGTTCCACTCGTCTGCACAGACCTGATACTCTGCCGCGGTCCTGAACACGGTCAGAACCGGACCGGACCGGTCGGACAGAGACACTGCAGGGACAGGGATACACACAGAACCAATCACAGTCTGAAGGGACATTTATTAAAACCTTCACTTCTAGGCTTGACTGATCCTGAATATTTATAACGTTTAAATAAATAAAGTTTTTTAAAGACTTGATGAAATCAAASTTCTGACAGTCTGAGCTCAAACTGGATCTGATAACCAGTATGATGACTAAGGATTATATATTATACCT